TCATCTCCACATTTTCCGACTACGAAGAAAAACGGCTAAGGAAGCCGAAGTCGAATTATCGGATAGAAAGACATCGGATTGTTAAGTCAAATGTCATTTCGTCATCTTTAGGCAACCGTGCAGCAGACTCGACAATATCGAAGATCAGCTGGAAAGTCTGTGAAATAAACTAGAATCCTTTGGTAGATCTTGAAGTAACAGCAAAACTAAAAGTAGCCCTAGTCATTTCAAATCAGTTTCAAACAAAGCTAAGTCTTTGTGTTCGTATCTGCTTTTTCGTGACACCAAATCTAAAACCAGGTTTTTCAAAAGACATACCGATTCCAACCATTAGATCTTGTGCTTGGTCCAAAAACATCATCTATACATTGCGCACACGCTTCACATAGACTGCCAGACAGACGGATGGATGGACATGGTTTAATCGACTCAGAAAATTATCCTAAATCACAAGGATTTCATAGTTTAAGTGTGAATTTTAGTCAAGTTTGAACTTAGGTTCAATACCAAATCGGTTTAAAACATGTGCCTATAGGCATATAACTACAACCTCCTGTTATCAATATCGTTTCCGAATCCTACGATATGTTCTCTAAAATCGTTTTGATTAAAAATTTCAATTATTCTGAATTCTGTAAGTTCAAAGGCATTTAACCACAACCTCCTTTTATCAATATCGTTTCCGAATCCTACGATATGTTTTCTAAAATCGTTTTAATTATACCCTACACCACTATAGTGGGGAGGGTATTATGCGATTGTGCTAATGTTTGTAACACCCAAAAATATTGGTCCTACACTTAAACTCCTAACCTAAGTATACCAATCGGCTCAGAATCACTTTCTGAGTCAATTTAGTTTTGTCCGTCTGTCTGTCTATCTGTCTGTCTGTCTGTCTGTCTGTCTGTCTGTCTGTCTGTCTATCTGTCTGCATGCCTGTTCGTCTGTGTGTTCATGTAATTTCAAGAGAATTGGATGAAATTTGGTCCTACACCTACCAGTATACCAATCGGCTCAGAATCATTTTCTGAGTCGATTTAGTTTTGTCTGTATGTCCGTCTGTCTGTCCGTCTGTGTGTCCATGTAATTTCAAGAGAATTGAATGAAATTTGGTACATACTCTTCTTTTGACCCAAGGACGATGCCTATTGAAAATGGTTAAAATCGTTCCATTATTTCCTATAGCCCCATACAACCGTACCACCCGAATAGGGCTTTTGAGCTCATAAATATGTTAAATGTGCTTGTATAACTTCAAAAATCAGCAAAACTTAATATTATATAAGTCTTAATGATACTGTTGATTTTCGTAATGAACGGGCCTCATTTGACCCTATCCCCCATATAAGGTGCCCTTCAGTAAATGACTTGATGGTCGAAATTTACTTATAAACACTAATAACACGGTACTACTCTGCATAAATAACTAATGTAGACATAAATACATCTACCAAAATTTATAAAGATGGGACCATATTAAGCCCATGTCTCCACCCTCATTTTTGAAAATCGTTCTTTTGTCAACAAGTTGTTTAAATATTTCTGAATGAAGTTAAAAATGAAATTAAATATTATTAAAAAAAAATCAAAATTTTTAACATACTGGTGTAGTGTATCATATAGTAGGCCATGCCCGACAATTATTCTGAATTCTGTTAAGTTCACATTTTCTGATTCCTCTATATTCCATGAAATGCCAATCAAATGTAGTAAATTCCGTAAACTGTATTGTTGAAATCTAAATACTCTGGCATCACTATGTTTTTGTTGTAGTTTATTTTAATTAACATATAGTCGACCAAATTATTCCACTTGAAACTTATCAGCAGCGCGTGTCTATAGCATATGTTAGTGTGGTTCGAATACCAACAACAATAAAAATATAAACAAACAAAACTTTTATCATAAAAGCTTTTAACACACTGGAAAAAATATATGTGCAAATATGCTGGAAAGTATATAGTCTCTCTCCATTAGGTGATCTTTTCTCAAATTCCAAAAAGAGAGCAGACAAATGATTTAATAACATCACGCATTTAGTATACCCTACGCTTCGTAGTGTGTAATACGTATGTATATGTTGTGTCTGAAGAACAAAATTCTTATCTGTTTATAACCGGTAAATCGTTCTGAAATGATTTAAGTCAAATATTTGACCCAGTAGTCAAACTTGAAAATCTCACAGGTCAACAAAATTTGAAATCTAGAAACTAAATGATAATTTCTTCATGAGACTTTCAAGATTTCGTGTATCCGTTTATAACCCGTACATCGTTCTAAAATTATGTACCGACGTTATTTAAGTCAAATATTTGACCATTTAGTAAAACTTGAAAATAACAGAGGTCAACAAAATTTGAAAATTTGAATTCGAAATCTAGAAATCAAATGATAACTTACTACGTACTAAAGTTCGAAAAACCCCATAATGCGCATATTTAGAAGTTATAACAACACGAAGACTTCTTAGTAAGGATCAATCCAAAATTGACCCTAGAGAGAGGAATAACATATTCCAAATTTAACTCATTCGGAGTAGAATTGTTAAAAATACTATTCGAATTATTTTTATACAAAATCCCCACTATCTGGCCACTCTTGACTAAACACACACTTCTTATCACTGCCATTAGCAACAAACTGTTGAATAACAAACCGACTAGACATGCGAAGATATAACCCAAAGAAAAACAACAAAAACTTTAATAATATTGATAGATATCAAACAATTGGAAGCCCCACAAACTCTCAGAAAATATTTCAGATTAGAGAGAGAGAGTCCCAAATAGGAGAGAGAGTGGAAGCGTTAACCAAGCAATCAATTATGTTTTTATCTCACTGAGTAGCACAACAACTAGTTCCTCGATGAGGTGATGTTTGATTTTTTCTATAGTCATGTTTGGATTTTTTTTATAAAACAAGGGGGGCCGGTGTGGACACGGTGTGTTCATGAGCGTTAGTGTGTGCGTGTGGGTCTGGAACTTTGTTGTTCTTGTTTTATTAGTGGTGGGGCTTGTTTATTCTGCACACACAATCTTTTAATTTGTTTTTTTATTTAATTTTTTTTATGGAAAAGTTGTAGCACGGTGACGTTGTATTTTCTATATGCGATTTGCTTAAGTTTAGTGTGCTTTTGGCATTCAGAGAATAGTGATCGTTGTAGTTCTAGTTCGTGGTTAGATAGCTCAGGTTGGTAGATAGTTTGCGTTTGTGTGTGGAATATTTTATTTTTTTTTTTATTCTAATGTTTTCCATAAATTCTTTTTTTTTTTCATACGCATTACATAATTGTTGGGAATCGAACATTTGCTGTGTGGATTTCTGATTTAAAAACATTTTTAACTTAACCAGATTTTAGAAAAAATGGCTTTACGTTTGGTATGCATTAACCCCGCTTTCAGCGTTATGGGTCAAACCTTTGTACGTGCCATGTCCAGCCAAGGTGGCTCCAAGAACATTGGTTTCGTCGGTTTGGGCAATATGGGCGGTCACATGGCCTCGAACTTGATGAAGAAGGGTCACAAATTGCATGTCTTTGACATCTCCAAGCCCGCCTGCGACAACATGAAGGCCAAGGGTGCCACCGTCTATGAAAAGACCACTGAATTGGCTAAGAACTCCGACTTTGTCATCACTATGTTGCCCAACAACGATATTGTCCAAAAATCCTACGAAGAAATGACTGCTGATGGCGTTAACAAGGATACCATTTTCATTGATTCCTCCACCATTGATCCCACTTTGGTCAAGCATTTGCAAAAGATGATCAGCGGCAAGGGTGCCCGTTTCATTGATGCCCCCGTTTCCGGTGGTGTACCCGGTGCTGAACAAGCCACTTTGACCTTCATGGTTGGTGGTACCAATGAGGAATACAATGCCGTCAAGAACGTTTTGGAATGCATGGGCAAGCGCATCACTCACTGCGGTGACTATGGTATGGGTCAAGCCGCCAAATTGTGCAACAACATGATGTTGGGTATCTCTATGCTTGGTCTCGCCGAAGCCATGAACTTGGCCATCCGTTTGGGTTTGAACCCCCAGACCTTCTCCGACATCATCAACTCCTCCACTGGTCGCTCCTGGGCTTCTGAAATCTACAACCCAGTACCCGGTGTCTCCCCCACTGCCCCCGCCAACAACGACTACAAGGGTGGTTTCTCCACTGACCTTATCACCAAGGATTTGGGTTTGGCCTCCGGTGTTGCTACCTCCACCAACACTCCCATTCCCATGGGTGCCATGGCTCACCAAATGTACCGTACTCTTAAGGCTCATGGTTTGGGCAACAAAGATTTCTCTGTTATCTACGATTTCTGGAAGAACACCAAATACAACTAAATTATATAAGTGTTATGAAAGCGAGAACTTAATTTGTATCTAGTGCTTCCAAAGCAATCCGGACCATTTGTAACCAGATGTGCATTTATAATTTAAGCATTTGTAAGATTTTTTTCTATATGTTTAGTGTAATAAACAAGGAATAAACAACAAGGATAAAAGATATTAATGATAAACTGAAATAAAAAAAAATAAAATTAATGTAGATAAAAACAATTAAATAATAGCTGTGTTTTTGTTTTAAAAAAAATGCCACGTCTTTATATTTATATATGACGTTTTTAAAATCTACCATAAAATCCTCTTAGATAACACATATAAAAAGTAATCACAGAGAATTCATAAAGATAATGTTGTTTTTTCAAAAGTTTAAAACTAAATTCGTTCTTTACTATATAAATTATATATGTAAATTGGATTCAAAACCAATTTTAATGGTTGATACCTCATTTAGTTGCAAGAAAAGTTTTACATTTCCAAAATATCGGGGGAGAAGTTATGTTAATATGTCGACTCTTGTTTTACGTTTCAGAACCTTTATTAGTTTTAGATTCGAATTATAGTAATATGTTTTATTTGATTCTGGAATTCATGTTATAGACAAATTATTAAATATATCCTTAAATGATTGACTAAAAATCACACTCTGAGTCGATTTACCGAAGCAATTACCCACATCTGTCTCTTCTTACCATATTAATACCACTTCTTACTTGTAATTGTAATGGAAATTTTTCCAATTACAATTACTTGTAATGTGTAATTGACCAATAACCAATTACAATTACTTGTAATTGTAATTGAAGTTTTGCCAATTACTTGTAATTGTAATTGAAATTTTCCAATTTTCCTTGTAATTGTAATTGAAATTTTCCAATTAAAATTACTTGTAATGTGTAATTAAGGTATTACTAATTACAAATTACATGTAATTATAAGGAACAAAATTCACAATTACAAGTAATTGTAATTGGAAATTCTTCAATTACAATTACAAGTAATTTTAATTGACAAAACTTCAATTACCATTACAAGTAATTGTAATTGTCAAAACTTCAATTACAAATAATTTTAATTGGCAAAACTTCAATTACAATTAAAAGTAATTGTAATTAGTAAAGCTTCAATTACAATTACTTCAAATGTAATTGTAATTGAAAATGTTGTCATTACCCCCCAAGCCTGGTATACATGCACCTTGCTCAAGTACTCGAGCTGTTTATTCTCTTGTCATAGTAGTCCCGTTGGGGAATGACAGGTGTCATGAGTCAAGCTCAATCTAACCCCGACAAAGAAAAATACAATAAATGGTTAGAGTCGATATAAGGGGTGGACACAAATTCAGGTTTAAGCCACAGCCACTACGTGGATCCCGAATAAACCTCAACTGTCTGATCAGCCAGGACAAAGTCCAGCGGGCAACTGACCACCCTTTGTATCAGATTGTGTGGTGTTCTGGTTCGACCCCATGTTAAATCCTTCTAAGGAAAGGCACACAAGAGGTGCTACTAGAGATACTAGTAGCACCTCTTTATCCCGGGATTGCTATACATCAAGATTCTTACCATATATCTGAACTGTTTATACCGAATTTTAAAAGTACTTTTTTAATCTAAATTGACGATTAGATTTATGCTGATAGAAAATAGAAATAGGCCGATCAAGAGCAACCAATTTTAAAAGACAAATTTCATGAAATTATCTTGAAAATTGATAACAACGTCGTCGGGACAAATTTAAATCGAATTTGGATGGGATTCTGTGACGGGTGGGGTATAGGTAAGTTGCAAATATCAGCACTAACGCAAAGATTGAAGCCTATTTGAGTTACCTCATTTGAAAGTAAAACTTATCCAAGAGAGAGAGCATTTTGCTTCGATCGAAACAAATAGCAGTTGGACGGTTTGATAAGAACGTTTATATAGACAGAGGTCGCTTGAAAATCTTTAATACAAATTATGATGTGATTCTGGGTCGAGTTGAATACTTTAAGATGGGTGTCGCACCAATGCTTGAGGGCGTTACAAATATCAGCACAAACGCTAACGGACAGATGAAGGGCCTGATTGCATCTGGGTAAAACAAGTAAGATTTCAAACACAACACACAAAAAAACCAACAAAATAAGCAAAGCAATAAAACCAACATACAAACACACATACGTTTTTTCATAAAGTGTATGTTGTTGTTGGTTTTTTGTCAAAGCAAGCACTAAAAATCTCTTTTTCTGTTGAAATTTTCACAGGTTGTCTCGGATTTTTGCTTAACTTCTCGAAAGCAATCCTGACAGAATTACTAAAGATTTGAATCCCAAAGATCTTAGGAGTCTTTGATTTCAACAGACGGATAGACAGACGGTCAGATGGACAGACAGACGGACAAATAAGTACAAATGAAAATTGCAGATTGATTGAACCTGGACTTGATTAAATAGCAAACTTCTCAAAAGCAATCCTGACAGAATTATTAATAATGATTTGTTTCCCAAATATATCTGGGGTCTTTAGAAAATTGATTTCAACAGACGGATAGACATACGGACAGACAGACGGTCAGATGGACAGACAGACGGACGGACAAATAAGCACAAATGCAAAGATTTTGAAAAATCGTTTTAAATTACACAGTAACAATTTTTCCATTACTTTTCTGAGTTGTAGTCATCAGATTCTTAATTCTTTAATTCTTCCCTGCTTTGAGCTGTAGGGAATAATTAAATCAAATAAATTACAATTAAATTATTCAAGGCAATGACTCCTGGCTGCCATTTATAAATAAATTCAATTTCAATGTTCAAGTGCAAAATTTTTAACAATTTATAAACTTAATAAGATTAATATATAGATTTGCTAAAAATTTTGATCAAAAAAGCTAATAGTTTATTAATTTAAATGGATTTAGTTTTGCTATTTTTTTGGTGTAAAAAAAAAATAAAATTTAGTTTAATTTTTATAAGACTTCAATAAGAATAACTATTTGTTTTTATATGTTTTCCACCACCATTTCTCCATATCCATTTTAATTAATACTTATAGCATTTACAATCAAAAACTACACCCATGATATAAGAAAAAATAACACAAACTATGTTGTATTTGTTCTACTGCGTCATAAATTCACACAAGTTTTCAACTAAATAGATTATTTAACAAATTGTCACACTAAAAATAAGTTTATGCAAAACAAAAATAATAATAACAAATACAAACAACATAAATACAAAAAGTTATTATATTTGAACGGAAAAAATTGAAAAGAAAGCAATCCACAAAAATCCGGTTTTGCTATATTTTTTTGCATATTTAATCAAATCTATATTAATTTGATAAACAATCATCCAAATGTTAAATTAATAAAAAAAATGTTGCTCGTGAAGTACTACTTCCATTTAGTACTTAGTGATAACAACTTTTTAGTATTTTAATTTATTTTTTTGTTTTTAAATAAAATAAAGCTAAACATGACATGGCATTATTTTACTAACATTTTGTTTGTGGGTGTATTTTATTATTAATTTTTTTTCGTTCTGTTTGTATTTATTTAAATAGGAGCTTTTTTGAGAATTTTTATACGCAATTGTTCATTAATCATTTAATGTGTACTAAATTAATTTTAAACAAATTTACACGCACATGATACAACGAAAGCTTTTATTGTTAAACAAGTAAGAAATTATAGTCGGGTGAGCCGACCATACGATACCCTACACCTGTTACAAAAATAAAATGTGATTTAGTTTTCATAATAAAGCATTGTAGTTGAATTGTACCTTGCCTCAGATAATTAAGCCATTTATTGTTGAATAAAATTGTGGACATTTAAGTCAAATTTTGAAGGGGGCTTTGTATAGGTGCTATGGTCAAATGAGACCCTATAATTATAAAATTCATGAGAGTCATCAAGGCTAGTATAGCACTTGGTTTTGCAGCTTTTTGTTGAGATACGAGTATATTAAACATAATTATGAATTTAAAAGCTTTATCTCCGGTACTATAGAAGATCATGTGCCAAATTTCATTTAATTATCTCCAAAATTGCGACCTATAGTTTGATTACAAGGTTTATAAGCCCTATTCCGGGGTTCAGTTGTATGGGGGGGTAGGTGAAATAATGGACCGATCTTAACCATTTTCAATAGGCTTTGTCTCCGGTACCATAGAAGACCATGTGTCAAATTTCATTGAATTATCATCAAAATTGCGACCTGTAGTTTGATTACAAGGTTTATAAGCCCTATTCCGGGGTTCAGTTGCATGGGGGCTAGGTGAAATAATGGACCGATCTTAACCATTAAATAGGCTTCGTCCCTGGGACAATAGAAGATCATGTGCCAAATTTCATTGAATTATCTTCAATATTGCGACCTGTAGTTTGATTACAAGGTTTACTTGGACGGACAGACGGACGGACGGACATAGCTAAATCAACTCAGAAAATGATTCTAAGCCGATTGGTATACTTTAAGGTGGGTATAGGACCAATATTATTGTGCGTTACAAACATCAGCACAAACCCAATATACCCTCCCCACTGAAGTGGTGTAGGGTATAAAAAGAGCTTTTTATAAATTTTGTCTAACAGTTTGAAAAGCATTGTTTCAGTTTTCAGGGTAAAATCATAAATAGTGTGGAGATTAATAAACAAGAAATCGTGCTGGTACTTTTTCAATAAAAGAAGAAATTTCATAAAGTATATATCACTCCTTCATATATTTTCTTTTTCAGGGAGAGCCCGGCATGTTAAACATTTTATATTTCTAAGTTTAATATTATAGAGAACTCTAAAAGTACCATTTGAAAAAAAAGTACCAAAAAAATTTTCTTGTTATATCCTACACCACTATAGTGGGGTGGGTATTATGCGTTTGTGCTGATTTTCCTACACCTACCTTAAAGTATGCCAATAGACTCAGAATCACTTTCTGAGCCTATTAAGCTATGTCCGTCTGTCCGTCCGTCTGTGTGTCCATGTAAACCTTGTGCGCACTCTACAGGATTTCTGAATTAAGGTAAAAATGAAATTAAATATTATTCAAAAAAATAAATATTATTATGAAATAAATAATAACACAATCACTGGTGTAGGGTATCATATGGTTAGCCATGCCCGACTAAAAATTTTTATTTTTTTGTAAAATTTTGTTGTTTTTTTATTTTTTTCAAAAAACTCCCGTTTTTTGGCTCAGCAGCAGTCCCGAACTCCCTATTTAACCTACTACATAGGGTTATACCTAGCCACCAATTGTCCAGGTGACTAGATTTTTTAACATGTGCTTGTCCTACGAGGAAATCAATCGTCACCCCATAGGTTACGAGAGAGTGTCCCCTTTCTCGCTTACAAAGGGGACACTAAAGTGACGATTATCTTCAGCCTCGTTTACAAAGAGTACATGCGTGATGAAAGACGAATTAGAGCCAACCAGGTGGTTAGACGTTAGTGGAAATCTCTGTCTTTTTCGGATGCATTGACTCTTTGTCGAACTGCAGGGATATGACCAATTATGGATCGGTCACAAAATATATACATATGTATATACACCATTATATTTAGTTCTACATCCACCTTAAAGTATACCAATCGGCTCAGAATCACTTTTTGAGTTGATTAAGCTAAGTCCGTCCATCCGTCCGTCCGTCTGTCTTTGGGTCTTGGGCTTTTGAGCTCATAATTATGTTAAATGTTCTAGTATGTCAACAAAAATCGGTAAAACTTAGTTTTATAAAATTCTAAATGACACTGCCGATTTTCGTAATGATCGGTCCTCATTTGACCCTAGCTCTCATAGAAACTCCCCTTCAGAAGATGACTTATAAACACTAATAACTCAATAAAATTCTGCATAAATAACCTAAATGAAGATGTAAATTCCTCTAACAAAATGTATTAGGATAGGCCCATATTTACCCTTACCCCCATATAGCCCTCCTGTAGAAAATCTCTTTTTTTGTCAACAAAATAAAAATATTCCGGAATTAGGCTTTAAAACGACATATCTTCTTATCTCTTCGAGATACATATCTAAAGCTTGATATAACAATAAATTGACAAAAACTGAATTTTTCGTAAATTTCACTTTTATTTTTCCTGTGAAAATACCTTTTGAACTGTTCTAAAATCTATTGCAGTTGCTGAGATATCATCCTTTAAAGTTTACGGACCGCCAGACATCGTTAAGTCGAATCAGAAAGTGATTTTGAGTCGATTGAAACATTGTCAGAAAGCATAATACCCTTCGCACTATAGTAGTTGAGGTTATAAAAGCCATGAATATATCAAAAATTATAGCTTTAGGTTAAGATATCTCGAAAAAGAAAGAAGATATGTCAGATGGTAACTTTTATTTTAAAGTTCCTAGAATGGACTTTCAAATAGAGTATAAGATATTACAAATACAGTTGTCTAGGCGCTGTTATACTTGTTTCATAATTATTTATGTGCATTTAAGTGATTTTCGGAAGTGAACCTTATATAGACCGATTCGGAAAATTTTGCTGGTCGATTTATACATACACATTCATGACGAATTTTATCCCGATATATTTTTTAAATAATGTAATATATCCGTTTACTTGATTTTCGAAAATGAACCTTATAAGGGAACCATGACCAATTGTGGACCCATGCAGCCATGACCAATGGCTGGCTGTCCACACAGAAGGCAATTAGGGCGATATCAGGTAAAAGAATTAAATTTAAGACCGTATTGAAGCTTTAACTCAATACTCTCCCAAAGGTAAGGTTTACATCATATGTATGGGTACCCGGCCACTCGGAAGTAGTCGGCAACGAAAGGGCGATTGTAATAGCTTTAAAGGGAAGGTAGCTCGAGGTAGTTAACCTGACACAGGCAAAACCATTTGAAGCAACAAAAACTGAATTAAAAATTTGGGTGAGAGAATCCCATAAGGCCTCTTAGAGTAATGAAACGTTGGGTAGAACCACAAAGATCCTATGTGTTGACCCTGATAAGAACAAGTCGAGAAATCTCCTCAAAATGAGGTTAGTATGTTGTTATGTTATTCGGAGTGGACACACAGGATTAGGAGCACATCTATACAAAATTGGCCGTGCAGATTCAGACAAATGTAGAGCATGTGGAGAGGACTGTGAAACTCTGGAGCACTTTCTTTGCCACTGTTAGGCATTTGTCGGAAATAACACTGATTTAAAAATTCTTAGGAATTACGTCCAGGAAAGTGAACAAATTTTTTTTTCATGAAAAGGAGCGCACAACAGACCCGATAGTGGCTTAGGTGTATTTCTTCGGTTTTGATACATCATCCTATCAACCTAACCTATACAGATCTATGTTGGTAATATATTCCGTTTATATTATATATGTACATATTTGCTAGTTTTTTGTGTGATACCGATATTTTTAATAAATCACAATAAATTCTTTACTGAACACCTGCAACTTTGTATGGAGGCTATGGGAAATTTTGAATCGATTGTAAAGATTTTGAACAAAATTTATCTCTCGATGAAGGAAAAAGTAACGTGTGAGTGAAATTATTGAATGATATTGGATAGTTTGTAAAAAAACAAAATGGAATTATTTGTCGAGATAGTCTGAAATTTTTACTTATAACTTTTTACGTTGTAAACTGATTTTAGCAATTTTCAATACCAAACTGTAGCCGATAACAGTAAATATATATTTTGGGTTAATTTCATTTATTTGCATTGCTATGTTTTAACATGTGTGTGTTTTACACAGACAGAAAGACGGACATAGCTATATCGGTTCAGAATCTCATAAGGACCATTAATGTTATATAAAGAAATAAAACAATTTAATTCTAAATGCATAATATTAAAATTGAAAATTGTATTTTATTTTTTTATAATATTTTTTGTTAATTTTTTTGCTTTTGTTTTATAATTTAGGAAGAATCGCAGATAATTGAACAATTTACAATTGAATTTTTTATTTATTTATTTGATTAAGTAATGTTATAGTTTAGTTTTTTAAGTAAAGATTTAATAAATATATATATATCTGTTAAAGTATATTTTTTCATTATAGTAAATATCTGTTAAATAATGGATAAAGTTATATTGGAATTTATTCTCTTAGGTACATTTTTATTTTTTTGTGAGAGTGAGTGTAAGACGACTGAGTGAGTGACTGAATTGTGAATTTTGTAAGTGATTTGTTAATTTGTCCAAAAAAAATTATGATTCTATCTAATAAAATACATTACAATAAGTACAATAAGTACAATAATTACAATAATTATTAATATTTTTATTGTTTCTTTATTAGGTAACAAATAAAGTAATTATTTGGTTATTTTGGTTAACAATATTTGTTATTAAGCAATTTTTATTTAGTTTCAAAAAAATGGTGCATAGTTTTTTTTTGAAAAAATTTTTTAACCAAATTTTTTTTTACAAAAAAAGGCAACTAATTTTTAAAAATTTAAATTATAGAAATTAAAATAATTTCTAGTGTTTATAGTTTTAATTTCAAACAAAATTGTTTTGAAGGGTTGTTTTAGGTTATGTATTTAATAATAATTATCATCATAATAATATTAAAAATAATTCTTGGAAAAATATCACAAAATTTGTTTTAAAAAAGTTTGAATTTTTTTTCAGTTAATTTATTTAATTATATATAGGTTGGTTAATAAATATTTAATAATAGGATTTAAAAATAAATACAATTTAAATACTTTAAGACATAACAATGGAGGGCAATTAGGAGTTTTTTTTAATTTTTCTATAAATTACTAAAGGCTACTTAATTAAAGAAATTTAATTTTCAAAAAAATATTAAAATCATTAAATTTATCTCTTTATAAACAGTTTAATAGGTTGGGTCTTTTTCGATTAAACTTCGGTTAAGATTTTCTATAATTATGTAACACAAGTTGAAAGTATATAACCTTTAAAAGTATATGCTAATAAAAAGCTTTCTTTAATAATTAAAACTTTTAGTTAATTCAAGTTATAAATTTAATATCTGTTTAAGTAGAGTTTAGTTTAATGTTACTTTTTTTGATTAGTTTTAGAACCCAGCAAAAAATTCAAAATATGTTTATTTATTTTATTGGTATTAGATTGACTTAGTTCGGAGGGTAGAATATATATTAAACTGATATTAAATAGCTTCTACTAAACATTTCTATCTAAATTTAAAAGCTTTAAAACTAAGATTTAACTAAGATGTCTTCTATATTTTTCAAGATATTTATTAGGATCTATAGATTTACTAGTAAACAAAATAAACTTATTTGTCATTAAGGAATTTCTTCTATATTTTGGATTTATATGAATAGTCGAAATTTCAGATATACATATTTCTTCTATAATGTGGAGACTTTTATACTTTTGTGCGATATCAATTTACCTTTTGATTTGAACTTCTACTCCACAGACTAGTCCATAAACATGTTAATATACTATTGATTAGTTCATAGAATGACACATACTTAGACACGACAATATATTAGTAAAGAGTCTAACCTATAGTCTTGCTTTCAAGAAATCAGTCAATAAACTGGACTATAGAATAGCCCCCATACTTATAAAAGCTTTTTAAAGTTGTGTATGGTTCATTATGGGAATTTTGTATGGAACATGTGCTTAATATACCTAAAGTAAGCTTTTAATATCTTTATGAATAAGGGGCTGGATAATATACTAGACAAATAACTAGTCCATAGACCACTAATATTTAATCTATAAAAAATTTACCCCTCAAAGATAACTCCGCAAGCTTTTCTACAGATAAGTCCAATGAGACTATTACTTAGACTAGTGCACAGACTAGTCCATAGATAAGTCAATGGCATAGTTCATAGATCAGTAATAGTCTAGTCCATTAACCAGTTTACTGACCATTTAATAGTCCATGGTTCATAGTCGAAAAACTAATGAACAAGTCCTTTCAGATCTTTCTATAGATTAGTCGATTAAAGTCAATAGACTATTACATAAAACTTAACTCAGACTAGACAAGGTAGCTAACAAACTGGTCCACAGATTTGTTAATAGACTAGTCCATTGACCTAACTAGTTAGTGACTATTTAACAGACTAGTCTTTAGACCCTTCAATAGACTAGTTCAAAGACTATACCACAGGCTTTTCTATAGATTAGTCAATAGACTATTACTTAGACTAGTGCACAGAATAGTCCATAGACAAGCCAATGGCATAGTTCATAGACCAGTAACCGACCATTTAATAGTCCATGGTTTAAAGTCGATAAACTAATGAACAAATCCTTTCAGACTTGTCTATAGATTAGTCCATTAACTAGTACATAAAATGTCAATAGACTAGTTCAAAGGCTACTCCATAGGCTTTTCTATAAATTAGTCCATTGACTAGCCAATAGGATATTACTTAGGCTAGTGCACAGACTAGTCCATAGACAAGTCAATGGCATAGTTCATAGACCAGTAATAGACTAGTCCATAGAATAGTTTACTGAGGATTTAATAGTCCATGATTCAAAGTCGAAAGACTATGAATTGGGAGAAACGTAGTTTTTTTTGGTAGCTAACAAACTAGTCCACTGATTTGTTAATAGACTAGTCCATTAATAGTTACTGACTATTTAATGGATTAGTCCTTAAACTAGACCCTTCTATAGGCTTTTCTATAGATTAGTCCATTCACTAGTTAATAGACTGGCACTTAGACTAGTGCACAGACTAGTCCATAGACAAATCAATTGCATAATTCATAAAGCAGTAATAGACCAGTCCATTGACTAGTTACTGACTATTTAATGGATTAGTCCTTAGACTAGACCCTTCTATAGGCTTTTCTATAGATTAGTCCATTAACTAGTTAATAGACTGTCACTTAGACTAGTGCACAGACTAGTCCATAGACAAATCAATGGCATAATTCATAAAGCAGTAATAGACTAGTCCATTGACTAGTTTATTAACCATTTAATAGTTCGTGGTACAAAGTCGAAAGACTAATGAACAAGTTCAGAAACTTTTCAGTAGAGTTGTTTTTAGACTAGTCTAAAGACTCGCATATAGTCTCGCTCATATTATTCACAGATTATTCCAATAACATATTCATAGATGATGTAGAGTAGTGCATATACTAATCAATAGACCGATCGGGTATGTAAATATTTTCAGCTGATTTAACAACTCTCATGCGAACCTTTCGAAAGTAAGATTTTATCTACAATAATTTTTACTTTCTATACATATGGGCAATTTCATGTGAAGTGACCCAACTCAAAAAAGCGATTCTAATGAAATTAACACCAAGGTTAGTACTATTCGATAGTAGGTCAGACACAAATGTTTTGCTCTATCGGTCCAGAACTACTGGGCTTAGAGGGGGTACAAAGTTGAACATTTTGGTCTTACAGGGTTTTATTCAAATCATTGTAACTTTTCACCTATTGGTCCTAGCAAAACTTATCCAAAAGAGTTCAGATAGCTATTTCTTCATTGTTTCAGGAAATCTTCAGCAATTTTAAAATGTAGATCTTGCTGTTGAAATATAATTCGATATAACGATCGCTTCGTAATTGTCCTTATTCTGGACTGTCCCCCTGCACTAGCTATTTCAATGCTTACTTCATAGACTACAAAGAGAAAGTCAAAAAGCTACTTCAAAGTAGTCAATGTATGTCAAAAACCTTTGTTTTTAAGTTTGTTTTTTAAGAGTCTACTCTCCAGATTACTTGGAGGCAATAAAATGAAGATTGTCTCCGCTATCGCTTACAACACTATAGTGACTTTTACAAAGAGGCAATTCGTGACTAAAGATGTATTAGAGCCAACCAGATGGTAAGACGTTAGAGGAAATTACTGTTTTTTTCGGATGCATTGACTCTTTGTCTTATCCCAATACTTAGTTGTGGGAAATTTTTTCCAGCTCAGTGGACTTAGCTATTCTATAACTCCTGTGACTTAAGACTTTCATTATACAGATACATATGTTTTCTATTTAATCAATAATTCGACTAGGGTCGAATTTGCAAATAGAATATTGGACCACTTCTATATATGAACAAAAAATACTGATATACGAAAAGCTGTTTGTGTCGGTTTTAGATCTGGGATCTGGGTTCCAAAGGGGTTTCTATGAACCAGTTGTTTGGTACTAGTCTTTTATCAAATTATGGAATTAACCAATAAAAATTTGCTTATATAGAAAGAGTTTCGAAGAAGATAATTTCGAACATTGAAAATGATGTCATTGATTTCAGAACTAATGCTGTTTGACTTGATGTGATCAGTTTTAATTTAAAAGTATAATATTTTAACATAATTGTGCTATATTCATTTTGACATTAAGATTTATCTTTAAAATTCTAGAGAATTTTTTGCTGGTTATAATATTTAAAGTTAATTTCAACTAACTAGATTTTCTAATTTTTCAAAATGTTTACAAAATGAGGTGTATTATACATAATATTTTTTTTTTTTTAATTTAGTTTAAAAAAGTGCAAAGTAATGTTTTTTAATGTAAATGGAGAAAACTTTATAATTATAACAATTATTATTTTCATAAAAAAAAGAATTATTATATTTTATAACTATTACTAAGATTTTATCAATTTTTTTGTAACATCAAAATTTTTTGTAAAAAAAAACCATACGAAATATTTAAGAAAAAAATATAGAAAAAAATTAATATGTATTCCTAAATTTAAACTAATTTGTCATGTATCGGATTTATGCGTACTTTTGTTTCATTTTCTTAAATGCGGTCGTCATGCGTATATTATCGGTGCCGGCCTTTAACATGTTCGATACATTACGCATCGAACGTTGCGATATATTGACAACATGTTGCGGCAAAACGGCCATTGATTTGCTCGTTGTCGATGTCTCACGAGCTCCATACAAATCCATTATTATATCGGCCTCATCCGTACTCGCTATGGACTATGATGCTTTGAATTTCTTTTTGGGATTATTTCGAGCAGCCTCAGCAGCTGTAGTGGGTGGTAACTCACGATATTGGTTCTGTAGATAAAAATTACGTAATTTTGAAATTTTTTATTTATTTTCTTAAATTAAATTACTTACAATTTCCTCATCATCTGGTATTCTCGATAAAAAGTCCAGCAACTCATTATTGGGTATAGTATTTGGTCTGAGTATTCTACGGGTAAATTTCATAATGCCCCAAAATAACAATAGAAAACGTATGGGTATAAAATGTAAGACTATAATGGCACCAACTAGTAAAACTACTGCCAGCCAGGTTAATTCAGGGACGGAAAAATTAAAGGTACTAAAATCATAAAAGAGATTAGTAAAATTTTATGCAAAATTTTCTTTCTCTATAACTTACTTCTTAGTACTCTCTCCTAATGAGGCCAAATAACCTATGGTATTTTGCACAGTCTGTGATACTTCCTGTATAGCTTGTAAACGCTCTTTAATCGATTTTTTCTCTTCCTTTTCTTTATCATCTTCGTCGTCTTCATCGTAGTCATAATCATAATTACCAGCTCCAGTATCCGACTGTCCTGTTATCATTCGTATTAGCCATTTTCTGTAATGATTTTGCGATAAATTTTGAATTTGAAATTATCGATGAGTTTAACTTACTTGAGTATGATCAGCAGTAATACTAAAGGTATAGTTTCCAGATTACCATATATACACGCCAGCACCCATAAAGTAAAAGCTATGGCCGATCTTAAGGGATTTTCCCATTCGAAACAAGATCTGTTAATAAAGAAAAAAATATATTTTTAAAGAACATTTTTGTGAAGTGAACTTTACTAGAACTGATCTAGAACTGAACTAGAACTGAACTAGAACTGAACTAGAACTGAACTAGAACTGAACTAGAACTGAACTAGAACTGAACTAGAACTGAACTAGAACTGAACTAGAACTGAACTAGAACTGAACTAGAACTGAACTAGAACTGAACTAGAACTGAACTAGAACTGAACTAGAACTGAACTAGAACTGAACTAGAACTGAACTAGAACTGAACTAGAACTGAACTAGAACTGAACTAGAACTGAACTAGAACTGAACTAGAACTGAACTAGAACTGAACTAGAACTGAACTAGAACTGAACTAGAACTGAACTAGAACTGAACTAGAACTGAACTAGAACTGAACTGAACTGAACTAGAACTGAACTAGAACTGAACTAGAACTGAACTAGAACTGAACTAGAACTGAACTAGAACTGAACTAGAACTGAACTAGAACTGAACTAGAAGTGAACTAGAACTGAACTAGAACTGAACTAGAACTGAGCTAGAACTGAACTAGAACTGAACTAGAACTGAGAACTGAACTAGAACTGAACTAGAACTGAACTAGAACTGAACTAGAACTGAACTAGAACTGAACTAGAACTGAACTAGAACTGAACTAGAACTGAACTAGAACTGAACTAGAACTGAACTAGAACTGAACTAGAACTGAACTAGAACTGAACTAGAACTGAACTAGAACTGAACTAGAACTGAACTAGAACTGAACTAGAACTGAACTAGAACTGAACTAGAACTGAACTAGAACTGAACTAGAACTGAACTAGAACTGAACTAGAACTGAACTAGAACTGAACTAGAACTGAACTAGAACTGAACTAGAACTGAACTAGAACTGAACTAGAACTGAACTAGAACTGAACTAGAACTGAACTAGAACTGAACTAGAACTGAACTAGAACTGAACTAGAACTGAACTAGAACTGAACTAGAACTGAACTAGAACTGAACTAGAACTGAACTAGAACTGAACTAGAACTGAACTAGAACTGAACTAGAACTGAACTAGAACTGAACTAGAACTGAACTAGAACTGAACTAGAACTGAACTAGAACTGAACTAGAACTGAACTACTGAACTAGAACTGAACTAGAACTGAACTAGAATGAACTAGAACTGAACTAGAACTGACACTAGAACTGAACTAGAACTGAACTAGAACTGAACTAGAACTGAACTAGAACTGAACTAGAACTGAACTAGAACTGAACTAGAACTGAACTAGAACTGAACTAGAACTGAACTAGAACTGAACTAGAACTGAACTAGAAACTGAACTAGAACTGAACTAGAACTGAACTAGAACTGAACTAGAACTGAACTAGAACTGAACTACTGAACTAGAACTGAACTAGACTGAACTAGAACTGAACTAGAACTGAACTAGAACTGAACTAGAACTGAACTAGACACTGAACTAGAAAACTGAACTAGAACTGAACTAGAACTGAACTAGAACTGAACTAGAACTGAACTAGAACTGAACTAGAACTGAACTAGAACTGAACTAGAACTGAACTAGAACTGAACTCGAACTGACCGAACTAGAACTGACGAGAACTGAACTAGAACTAAACTAGAACTGAACTGATTTAATTAGTTGAAAATTTAAATTTTTAGTAAAAATTATAATTTTTAATAAAAATTAAAATTTTTAGTAAAAATTAAAATTTTTAGTAAAAATCGTATTTTTAGTAAAAATCGTATTTTTAGTAAAAATCGTATTTTTTAGTGAAAATCGTATTTTTTAGTTAATGTTTAAATTTTTAGTGAAAATTGTAATTTTTAGTAACAATTGTAAACTTTAGTGTATTATTAATTTTTTGAGTTTTTATGAAATTTTATATTTTTTGTGAAATCGTGTAATTTAAGTCGACTAACTTAGTTAACTTACTGTATATATCTAGCAGCATCGAAAATATTCATTATTATATCTTTCAGTCTATTGACATTACGTAGGAATAGTTGTCTTTTAAATTTTGCCTCCTGTTGTATTAATTTCTCCTCTTTCGGCTGTAGAACTCTACACACGGCCCGTATTTCATTCCATACCACATTCATTTCTAATAAAATCTAACAAAGGAAGAAATTTATTAAGAATTATATTCGAAATATTGTTTTAATATATGCAAACCTGTGGTGACATGCCTTTGGCTCGACTGCACAGATTTTTGTCTTTTAATGTATACCACCGCTTGACACCGTTTTTAATACGCAACAGAGGTATAACAAGTTTACCCAAAAATTCTACTCTATGGTCCCGATCTTCGTCGTAAACAGTTATTTCTAATACCTGGGTTATGTCTTTGACGTTGCTGTGAGAAAAAAAATATATTATTTGATAAATATTGGTAAAATTATTTATCTTTCTAGTACTTACAAAGTAAATATTTTATTCCATGTGGGCGTTAAAGTCTTATATTCCGTTTGTGTCTGCAGTCTAGCATTGCCCAATTCTAGCACACAAAATGGATCCGATTTGCCACCTATATCCGCAGCAGCCAAACCTTGAGCACCGAAAACTTTCACCGTTAAATGACCAACATCGCGTAAATTTTGAAAACAACGATGCCAACGATAACGATTATGTAACACCTGCAGTTCACGAGGATCTTCTTTGAAAGCCTTCAAATCACTTATAGTTTCTAAAGCGGTAGTGCCACTTATGGTCAACATAAGAAACACTTCACCGGGACAGTCTTCAAAGGGTTTCCAAATACCATGTGTAGTTTCACGCTGAAAAACACTGAGATCAATGGAAGCCTTGCCATATAAAGTATTACGATTCCATAGAGAAATCTCTAAATTTTGATCTTCATCGAAGAGATGCAAATCGAATTGCTCTAGCCAGCGTTCGGTCCAAGAGGATTTACTTTTGTATTTTTCATTGCCCAGTCTGAAAGTATATTAAAAACAAAATTTTAATTTTTGCTTTAAAGTAAAAAAAGTTTTATATAAAATTTACCTAAATTTGATATGGATATCATTAAGTTTATTGCCATCTTCTCCTAAAGGTAAACCTTTGGATTTAACCAATAAAATTGTGACCACTGAACTCCAGATTTGAGACTTTAAACGTTTCGATGATTCAGCCAATTTGGAATTACGTTGGAAATGCTAAAATTATATTAGAAAACAAATAAACAATGAATCATTTAAAGTAAAAAATATGTTTCATAAATTAAAATTTATTATGTTTAACCTCACACCACTCCGTGACCTCTTCTTCTATGAGTTTTTTCCAGCACTGACGTTTGGCACGAAAACGTTTTACCAACGATTGTGCCGCTACTAACTTGCTACCATTTATATTCAAAGTATATTTCATGTTGAGTTTTATCAAATAACTATTGGACTAGGCTTAAAAATTCCGTTAACAAGTGCATACGATCAAACGTTCCAGATCGTTTGCCACGCTCTCACCACAAATCAAGTACTAAAGCTTGTTTTTAGATCTTTACAATTTTAAGTGGAAATTTAAAAACAAATACTCTCTACATTTACACAATAATTAAGTGTCTGGGGGAAAGTATGCGTGTTGTAGATACAGTATTGAGTCTCTCTCTCTCTCTACACTCTAATGAGTAATTGAGAGTGTAATTATTTTTTGCAATAAAATTAACTTTGTTGTGTGTAATCATCTTAGACATTTGAAGTCATTGTTTCATAAATTTATAAACAAAAATCTTGCAGTGGATCCACATGTAAGATCGAGGGGGATGGAACAAATATTTATAAATAAACCGATTAAGTCTGAAAATATTGGTTTCAAATCGAAAATTGACAAGTATGAGTATTATCTTCAGCTATGCCGAATTTTATATACCCACCATCAAACCTTATAACGATAAACATCTGGGTGATATTTGGAATAGGGCTTAAGTCAATCGAGCCTTTATATTGAATTTCATCGCTGTACTCGCATGTTTATTCCCGTAATTAGCGTTAAAGTAGTTTTCTGAAAGGGGCCCGAAATGGGGAGTTGGATCAGTTATGGATCGATCCTTATAAAATTTTGTAGATAGATTTTTTTCGTTCGTTTAAACCTTTTTGTGTGGAATTTCATCGCTATACTAGCATTACTGAGCCAGTAATCAGCATAAAGGTAATTTTCTAAAGGTGACTTTATATGGGGGTAAGGTCAATAATGGACCGATCCTCAAAAACTTTGTTTGAGAGATTTTGGTTCGTAAGAGACTTACTTATGTCGAATTTCATCGCTATACTCGTATATTTTATCCAGTAATGAGCGTTAAAGTAATTGTCTAGTTCATCATATGTTCTAGAACCCACAAAAGTTCATTATTATTTATTGAAAAGGATGACAATAACATTTTATGGTTAAAAAAAAACACAAGATTAAATAGTATGTTTAAGTAATGATTAGTCATTATATGGTTATTTCTACACATTAGTTGGTAATGATATTTGTTTATAATACTTTAACTAATTAGCGAAGAACAAAAAAATTACAGTAAAATACATGTAAGGTGGATTGACTTTACAGAAATTATGTATATAGGTCCCCAAGCTATACTTCTCTCTTGAGCTATTTCAAATGTTTATTTAGTGTTTTGAGCAAAAGTGAGTCATAAAAGTGTGTATATTTCCTGTATATTTTATAAAATTTTGTAATTATTACTATTCTCTTCTCTATTTGCATAAATACAAGTTTTCGACTACCATTACGTGACAGTTATTATACCCTACACCACTTTAGTGGGGAGGGTATATTGGATTTGTGCTGATGTTTGTAACGCACAATAATATTGGTCCTATACCCACCTTAAAGTATACCAATCGGCTTAGAATCATTTTCTGAGTCGATTTAGTTATGTCCGTCCGTCTGTCCGTCCGTCTGTCCGTCCGTCTGTCCGTCCGTCTGTCCGTCCGTCCGTCCATATAAACCTTGTAATCAAACTACAGGTCGCAATTTTGAAGATAATTGAATGAAATTTTGCACATGATCTTCTATTGTCCCAGGGACGAAGGCTATTGAAAATGGTTAATATCGGTCCATTATTTCACCTAGCCCCCATACAACTGAGCCCCCGAATAGGGCTTGTAAACCTTGTAATCAAACAACAGGTCGCAATTTTGAAGATAATTGAATGAAATTTGGCACATGATACTCTATTATCCCAGAGACGAAGCCTATTGAAAATGGTTAACATCGGTCCTTTTTCTCATCTAGCCCCCATACAACTGAACCCCCGAATAGGGCTTGTAAACCTTTTAATCAAACTATAGGTCGCAATTTTGAAGATAATTCATTGAAATTTGGCACATGATCTTCTATTGTCCCAGAGACAAAGCCTATTGAAATGGTTAACATCGGTCCATTTTCTCATCTAGCCCCCATACAACTGAACCCCCGAATAGGGCTTGTAAACCTTTTAATCAAACTACAGGTTGCAATTTTGAAGATAATTCAATGAAATTTGGCAGAAGATCTTTTATGGTACAGGAGACGAAGCTTATTGAAAATGGTTAACATCGGTCCATTATTTCACCTAGACCCCATACAACTGAACCCGACGAATAGGGATTTTAAGTTTATAATTATGTTTAATATACTCGTATCTCGACAAAAAGCTGCAAAACCAATTTTTATACTAGCCTTGATGACTCTCATGAATTTTATAATTATAGGGCCTCATTTGACCATAGCCCCTATACAAATCCCCCTTCAAAATTTGACTTAAATGTCCACAATTTTATTCAACAATAAATGGCTTAAGTATAATTCAAGGCAAGGTGCAATTCAACTTAAATGCTTTATTATGAAAACTAAATCACATTTTATATTTGTAACTGGTGTGGGGTATTATATGGTCGGCCTCGCCCGACTATAATTTCTTACTTGTGTTTTTATACCCTACACCACTTTAGTGGGGAGGGTATATTGGATTTGTGCTGATGTTTGTAACATACAAAAATATTCGTCCTAGACCCACCTTAAAGTATACCAATCGGCTTAGAATCGTTTTCTGAGTCGATTAAGCTATGTCCGTCCGTCCGTCTGGCTGGCTGGCTGTCCATGTAAACCTTGTGCGCAAGGTACAGGTCGCAGTTTTCAAGATAATTGGATGAAATTTGGCACGCACGTTTTATTTGACCCAAGGACGAAGCCTATTGAAAAGCCTATTGGTTAAAATCGGTCCATTATTTCACCTAGCCCCCATAGAACAGAACCCCCCGAAAAGGGCTTCTGAGCTCATAATTATGTCAAATATACAGATATATCGATAAAATACGGCACAACTAAGTTTTATAGAAGTCTTGATGACCCTGCCAAATTCCATAAAGATCGGGCCCCATTTGACCCTAGCTCCCATGCAAAGTCCCCTTCAGAAAATTACTTGAATGTCCCAAATTAACTTATAAACACAAATATCGCAATAAAATTCTGCACAATAAAATATTATGTAAATATAAATATATTCACAAAATTTTATCGGGCTTGGTCCATATTTGCCCCTAGCCCCCATATAAAGCCTCTTTCAGAAAATTAGTTTTTCATCCATAAATTGCTTAAATGTATCGGAACAAGGGAATATTGAAGATAAATGCGATATTATGAAAAATAAATCACATTTAATATTCATAACTGGTGTAGGGTATCATATGGTCGGCCACGCCCGACTATACTTTCTTACTTGTTTTTTTTTTTGCATTCAGCAATTGACAGCTGATAAAATGTTGCTGTTGTATTTTGAATTCTTGATATATGTTTACATGTTTAAACTTGTTTATTTTTCCAAACTAGTTAATTAGTTAATTACATTTACTAATTACATAAATATAAATTAACTGCAGATAATACATATGTATGTTTAATTACAATGAGCAAACATTTACTTTAAAAGTGTCTTTATTCAAATACAAATTTTTTGAACCGTTTAGTGCAAAATATCTGTTCTATTTTTTCCTTTAATAGTTACTAGCATACCCTGGGTGCTTCGCTACCCTAATCAAAATTAAATAAAGAAAAAGTACCAAAAGAGAAATAAATTCTACCTTAGTGGAAAGTACTAATAAAAATAGTACAATTTTTCTCCTTTTCGCTTAGAAATATACTTTTTTTGAGAATTAAGTTTGCAAAATGTTCCGTATTTAAATCTATTTATCACAAATAAAACTCAAACGATTCAAATCTGTATTCATTTGTTCCAGAAAAATTGTGCTTTCAAAAAGTACCAAACAATATACTCGAATTTGGTCCTATATATGCCTTAGTACTCGAATTCCAAAATAATATACCAATAGCTTATTTTGTGTGAGTAAATAAACCACTTTTTAAAATTTTATAAAAATTGACTCAATGAGTTTGAATAAAATTTAATTTCCCGTTTTTCGGTACTTTTTTGCCCAGTGAAATAGCAAGAATTTTGTTTCAATAAATATTATTGAGTTAGTCCGTAATTCAATAGAAATACTTCAATAAATCGAAAAAGTTTTCTTAATGTGCTAAAAAAGTACCAAAGTACTGCATTTTAAAAAAGTACGAAACAGGTGTCTTCTAATTTTGGGAGACATATTCAAAGTATTTACAAAAATGTTATTTTGTTTATTAGTTAAAAAGTTATAAAGTGTAATAAAAGGTACTAAAATCACCTTTGTTACACATTTTCACCCCTTAAAAGTACGAATTTCAAAAAAGTACCAGACACCCATTTGCTCATTTTTAGAGTAGATACAGATAATATAGTGTAAGATAATTAAGAAACCCTGTTTTACCCGTTTTTCCCCTTTTTTACCCCTAAATGTACCAAAAATCCCTCCTTAGTGGATCTACATAACTAAAAACACATCTACTGTCAAAATTTCGTGATTCCATGTTCAGCCGCTGGGCTGTGCGATGATGAATCAGTCAGTCAGTAACGCTACTCTTTTATATATATAGATATATAGATTATTTACGGTATAAGAATGATGTGATCATAAGTTTTGTGAATTGGTTTACGAGAATTGTAATTGCAGACCTTGTCATTTATATAAGGTTACCTTCCCAATAAATACATGCCTTGTGTTTCTATAATTATGCAATCTAATGGTGTTTAATTTACTTTTGATATTGAGAAATTTATATTAAACCTTAAGTACTTGAGTGAATCATGGGAAATTCTGTAAATTAAAATGATTTAGAATTTTATTAAAAAATAGAGAATGTAGTTTTGTAATCTACTAAAGACTCAAAAGTACCAGTCTCTAAAGTAAAAATTAAAAAGAAAGTATTTGTAATGATTTAAATTTATTAATAACTAGTTAATGTTATTATTTTCTCTCCCATTTTTTCAAACCTCGATAATTGGCGAACAGAAACACTTCAAAATCATAGCATTACTATAGATGTTACACATAATACCCCACACATTTTACGATACACAAAAATGACTTCATTAGAAAATAAATATTTTAGATTTTCCCATTAAAAGAAAACACCAACAATTTCTGGCATCACTATTTGCTAAAAGATTAAATAATTCACACATAAATATTTATTATTTACCGACTGATGACAGACTGGTATTTAAACTCAATTATTATGTATCATATACAATACACAAACATACACACTTTAACATATACAAATTCATGAAACAATCAAAAACCATAAAATATGATAAGAGATTAACAAAAGAAAATATCGGCAACAAAGAAAGGAACAAAAAAATGTCAACAGTGAAAGTTATAATGGGTTGTATCGAATCTTATATACCCACCACTAAACACTATATTCCAGAATTTGGACAAGATAATAATAGAGAATACTATAGTCAAGATTATATTCCCAAACAGATTATATATACATATATTCACGAACAATAGTACAGACTATAGACTAGACTATAGTTCAGACTATCGACCCTATTGTAGTATATACTAGACTATAGTACAAACTATAGCATTGACTAGACTATAGTATTGACTATAATATAGACTAGACTATAGTCTTGACTATAGACTAGACTGTAGTCCAGACTATAGACTAGACTGTAGTCCTGACTATATACTAGCCTATAGTCCTGACTATAGACTAGGCTATACTACTGTCTATAGACTATACTATAGTCCTGACTGTAGAGTAGACTATAGTCCTGGCTATAGACTAGATTATAGTTTTGGCTATAGACTAGACTATAGTCCTGACTATCGAATTGTACTGACTATAGATTAGACTATCGTCGTGACTATAGACTAGACTATAGTCGTGACTATAGACTAGACTATAGTCGTGACTATAGACTAGACTATAGTCTTGGCTATAGACTAGACTATAGTCCTGACTACAGTCTAGTGTATAGTCAGACTATAGTCCAGACTATACTGTAGACTATAGTCCTGGCTATAGACTAGATTATAGTTTTGGCTATAGACTAGATTATAGTCCTGACTATAGACTAGACTGTAGCCCAGACTATAGACTAGGCTGTAGCCCAGACTATAAACTAGACTGTAGCCCAGACTATATACTAGCCTATAGTCCTGACTACTAGACTATAGTCCATAGATTAGACTGTAGACCAGACCATAGACTAGACTATAGTCCTGGCTATAGACTAGGCCATAGTCCTGACTATAGACTAGACTGTAGCCCAGACTATAGACTAGACTGTAGTCCAGACTATATACTAGCCTATAGTCCTGACTGTAGACCAGGCTATACTCCTGTCTATAGACTATACTATAGTCCTGCCTATAGAGTAGACTATAGTCCTGGCTATAGACTAGATTATAGTTTTGGCTATAGACTAGATTATAGTCCTGACTATAGACTAGACTGTAGCCCAGACTATAGACTAGGCTGTAGCCCAGACTATAAACTAGACTGTAGCCCAGACTATATACTAGCCTATAGTCCTGACTACTAGACTATAGTCCTGGCTATAGACTAGACTATAGTGGCTATAGATCTGACTACAGTCTAGTCTATTGTCAGACTATAGTCCAGACTATACTGTAGACTATAGATCAGACCATAGATTAGACTATAGACCTAGACTAAAGTCCTGACTAATCCTTAGTCCTGGCTATAGACTAGACTGGACTATAGTCTTGACTATAGACTAGGCTATAGACTACTCTATAGACTAGACCATAGACTAGAGTATAGACTAGACTATAAACTAGACTGTATACTAGACTATAGACTAGACTATAGACTAGACTATAGACTAGACTAGACTTTAGACTAGACTATAGACTGGACTATAGACTATACTATAGACTAGACTATAGACTAGAATATAGACTAGACTATAGACTAGACTATAGACTAGAATATAGACTAGACTACAGACTAGAATATAGACTAGACTATAGACTAGACTATTTACCGGACTATATACTAGACTATAGAGTAGACTATAGACTAGAATATAGACAAGACTATAGACTAGACTATATCCTAGACTATAGACTAGACTATGGACTAGACTATAGACTAGACTATAGACTAGACTATGGACTAGACTATAGACTAGACTATAGACTAGTCTATGGACTAGACTATAGACTTGACTACAGACTAGACTATAGTCCTGACTATTGACTATAGCTCTGGCTGTAGCCTAGAATATGGTGCTGAATAGACTATAGTCCTGACCATAGACTGGAGTATGCTCCTGAATTTAGACTGGAGTATATATAGACTAGACTATAGTCCTGACTAAAGACTAGACTACAGTGCATACTATATACTATGCTATAGTACTGACTATAGACTAAACTATAGTCCTGACTGTAGACTTCACTATAGTCCTGACTATAGACTAGACTAAATCATCTGAGCCGATACTTTAAGGTGGGTGCAGGACCAATATCTCTGAGTGTTACAAACATCAGTCCAAACGCATAATACCCTCCCTACTATAGTGATGTAGGGTATAACAAAAGAATGAATACAATAAATATAGATAGAGGTATAAAATATTTAATATTTATGCTAAAAAAAATCATCGAATTAAACTAAAAAGTGAGGGGGAGCGCTTTAATAAATGAAAGAGGCTGATGTACAGACAAAATAAATGAATGACAATTCAAACCAGAAGATGTTGGTGTCACCAACTTGGTGATGATGCTGTTGATGTTGATGATGACAATCAACGGCAAAAATAATAAATCATTTCATTTCACTAGACAAAAACCATTTAATATTCATAGCACAAAACTTAAGTTACAGCCTGCATCTAATACAAACTAAAAACTAATTTCCGTCATTTACTTTTCAAATGCTTGAGTTGAGTTAATTTTTGACTACCAAGAGACTCTGTGTGATGGGAAATTTCACTTCCAGAGTTGAAAAAATGAAAGGAAACCCCAAGAACAATAAAACAAACATAAATACTTATATTTTTGTTGTCAACTTACACTTACCATTTCCTTATCCTCTTGTGAACGTGGCCATAATGTTAAGTTAATTAATATTTCGCCCATTTGTCGTTCTGGATGATTGATATCATTCAATGTCAAATTAATATCCTCCGCTTTACCCAATTCCAATTGTGTTAAATCAATTTTTGCTGAACCCATGAAATCATCCTGTAAACCCCAATCGTAATCAAAGACCTATAAGTGGGCATTGTTAAGGGAGAAAGAAAAAATTAATTAGTTAATCAATTTATATAATTAAGTAAATAAATCGAGGTTGTTTAAGTAGTTCATTAGTTATATGTATTGAAATGAGCTTTGTTAAATGGTGTTTAATAACAAAATATAGAATTTAATTGTTTAGCGAATGTTGTTAAACAGTTTAGATTGTAATTTTTTTTAAATACATATTTAAAACCTCTTATTAAAGTGACTGGACTATAGACTAGACCATAGACTAGACTATAGACTAGACTGTAGACTAGACTATAGATTAGACTATAGATTAGACTATAGACTAGACTATAGACTAGACTATAGACTAGACTATAGACTAGACTATAGACTAGACTATAGACTAGACTATAGACTAGACTATAGACTAGACTATAGACTAGACTATAGACTAGACTATAGACTAGACTATAGACTAGACTATAGACTAGACTATAGACTAGACTATAGACTAGACTATAGACTAGACTATAGACTAGACTATAGACAAGACTATAGACTAGACTATAGACTAGACTATAGTCTATTCTGTATATAAATAGTAAATAGTATAGTATAGTCTATAGACTATAGACTAGACTATAGACTAGACTATAGACTAGACTATAGACTAGACTATAGACTAGACTATAGACTAGACTATAGACTAGACTATAGACTAGACTATAGACTAGACTATAGACTATAGACTAGACTATAGACTATAGACTAGACTATAGACTAGACTATAGACTAGACTATAGACTAGACTATAGACTAGACTATAGACCAGACTATAGACTAGACTATAGACTAGACTATAGACTAGACTATAGACCAGACTATAGACTAGACTATAGACTAGACTATAGACTAGAATATAGACTAGACTATAGACTAGACTAAGACTAGACTATAGACTAGACAATAGACTAGACTATAGACTAGACTATAGACTAGACTATAGACTAGACTATAGACTAGACTATAGACTAGACTATAGACTAGACTATAGACTAGACTATAGACTAGACTAGACTATAGACTAGACTATAGACTAGACTATAGACTATACTATAGACTAGACTATAGACTAGACTATAGACTAGACTATAGACTAGACTATAGACTAGACTATAGACTAGACTATAGACTAGACTATAGACTAGACTATAGACTAGACGATGACTAGACTATAGACATAGACTATAGACTAGACTATAGACGAGACTATAGACTAGACTATAGACTAGACTATAGACTAGACATTAGACTAGACTATAGACTAGACTATAGACTAGACTATAGGGACTAGACTATAGACCTAGACTATATAACTAGACTATAGACTAGACTATAGACTAGACTATAGACTAGACTATAGACTAGACTATAGACTAGACTATAGACTAGACTATAGACTAGACCTATAGACTAGACTATAGACTAGACTATAGACTACTATGACTAGACTATAGACTAGACTATAGACTAAGACTATAGACTAGACTATACCAGACCTATGACTAGCTAAGACTAGACTATAGACTAGACTATAGACTAGACTATAGACTAGACTAGACTAGACTATAGACTAGACTATAGACTAGACTATAGACCTAGGACTATAGACTAGAATATAGACTAGGAATATAGACTAGACTATGGAATATAGACCTAGACTATAGAATGGAATACTAGAATATGACCATATAGAAACTAATCTGAGCCTAGACGATAGACTAGACTATAGGCTAGAATGTAGACCTATACTATAGGGTATACTATGACTAGACTATATCTAGTTCGTAGATTTTCTGTAGTCAAGCCTAGTCTGTAGTCTCCACTAAACTGTTGGCTACACTATACATATACTAATCCTTTGTCGTTCTCGTCAGAACATGTCTTGTCCAAATGTAGACAAATGATTAAGGGTTTCTAAACTAGTTAAATAGTTTTACCTCTGGGCAAAATGACCAATGAATTCAAAGTAATGTTGTCGTATACTCTCTCAGCCATGTCACTTGAAGTTAATGTCGTTATGTACTAAACCTCTTGGAACATGTTTAATTTATTGCCTTTACCTTTCAATTTGTGATTCAATAAATAGTAGATAGTTTATAACTATCCTGCAGTTCAAAAGTTAACATTATTTTCATTGTTTTAAGCTAAGTAAGATTTTTCTGAAAATAAACTAAATAAACATTATAAATGTTTATAGAGGTGTTAACTAGCAGTTAGTTCTAAGGCCTGCAGGGTAGAGTAAAGAATTTATTGCACATTTTACTAAGTTCAACTTTTCTCACTGTCTACAGAATATATGTTGTGTATATAAACAGTAAAGATTCAGCATAAACTTTTGTAACATTAAACGTATAATATTTTGATTAAAACAAAAAGGAAGTGTTGCCGATCAAGCCCCATTATATGATTTATACTCTTAATGACATTAACTTTTTTGTCAGAATTAGAACTTGTGTTAGGTCTATGGCCAATTGTGGATTGATCATTGCAAAATCTTATAAATGATTTCCTCGCATATTAAATTTATTTGTATTAAGTTTTTTCCCAAACGTTGTATATTTGAAGTGTATTTCGGAAGTGGGCCTATGAGACCAACAATAGACAGATCGCGATATGAATTGGTAAAAACTTTCTGTTGTTAATGCTGAATTCCATCTCAATACTAATTTTTTAAAAGCTTCTTATAGTTTTTAGTGTTTTTTGGAAGTTCTTATTATATGGAGATTATGGCTAACTATAGGCCAATTCCATGGGAACACCCAAAGTACTACTTTTTATACTCACCATCGAAAAAGATGGGGGGTATATTGATTTTGTCATTCCGTTTGTAACACATCGAAATATTGGTCATAGACCCACTAAAGTATATATATTCTTGGTCCTCATTAAATTCTAAGACGATTTAGCCATGTCTGTCCGTCTGTCTGTCTGTTGAAAGCACGATAGAGTCCGAATGGAAAGAGCTAGAGGGTTGAAATTTCACATAAATATTTCTTATAGGTAAGGTTTGTTTGGTATTGAAAATGGGCAATATCGGTCCACGTTTTCGGATAGCCCCCATACAAGTGACCCCTCGAAATGCAGCTTTAACAGCCATAACATGTTTAAAAATACGAATATAGCGATGAAATTCGACATAAGTAAGTTTCTTAAGATCCAAAATCACTATGCAAAATTTTATGAGGATCGGTCCATAATTGACCCTACCCCCATATAAGGTCCCTTTCAGAAAATGACTTTAACGCTCATTACTGGCTTAAAAATACTAGTATATAGATGAAATTCGACATAAGTAACTTTCATACGAGTCAAAATCTATCTAAAAAATTTTACGAGGATAGGTCCATGATTGACCCTACCCCCCTATATAAGGTCCCCTTCAGAAAATGACTACAACGCTCATTAATGGTTTAAAAATACGAGTGTAGCGATGAAATTCGACACAAATAAATTTAATACGAACCAAATTCTGTCTACCAAATTTTATGAGGATCGACCCATAATTGACCCTACCCCCCTATATAAGGTCCCCTTCAGAAAATTACTTTAACGCTTATAACTGGCCTAAATGTACGAGTAAATAGATGAAATTCGACATAAGTAAGTTTCATTCGAGTCAAACGAGGTGTGATGGTGGGTATATAAGATTCGGCATAGCCGAATATAACACTCTAATTTGTTCCAATCGGTCTTATTCGGTACTTATTACATTCTAAAACGACCTACTCAAACTGATAAAGTTTGTTTGATTTTAAAAATGGGCTATATTGGTCCAAAAATTTTCATAGCCCCCATACAAATGTCTCCATCGTATAATAGCATTCTAATTTTAAGCCTCTTGTTATAAATAACTGGGTGTTAGCACAGCCTAACATAATGCTCTTGTATACTTTAATAATTTAGTTGACCTTTTTCCCATTGTCATCTTGGGAATGGAGGCAAGTTGAACAACAACTACTTATTGCCGACATCAAAGACATTTATTGTTGGCCATTAATTATGTTCATTTGAGTGTTTATTATTGTGGGACATTTGTAGTTTTTTTTTAACATAACAAAACAAATTATTTGTTGTAAGCAATAAAAGAGAAAAATGTTTCTGTCAAAAAGAAATCTACTTTCCCCACCCAACCTCCTTAAAACACAGACAAATGTTTTAATTTTCTTTTCAAGAACCCAACAGAAAAAAAACATTTGTAATTAAGTGGACCAAATCATATTAAATATTTTTCTTCAAATTACAATTCTTTTGTTGATTAAGCACGACACGACAAACTTACCTTTACTACAACTGGCTCAAAGGGATCTTCTATGGGCACCACAAATACTTCATCCCACACAGGATTTAAATCTCGATGTATTGTACGTGATTTGTGCAATAGTCTGCCACCCATTTTAAATTTAACATAAGGATCACTTAAACCTACACAAATAAAATGCAAATAGAAAGTTTTACACATTTTTCTCATTATCAACTGTTTCTTTTGCAAAAAGACTTTATTAACGAACCATTTTTGTCCATGGCCACTAAATCACTGCCACTCTTGAGATGAACACGTAATTGAAAAAAGACGTATTGACGTAATTGCGCCTCCTTTTTGCGGCGCATTTCATCAGCCTGTCGCACAAAGGAAAATACAAAAAAAAAAATTAAATTATATTCTTTAATTTACAGAATTAAGACTAAACACACACACCTGCAGTTGTTCCAGTTGCATAGAGGTCACTTGACAATCTGAACCTATGGCACCATTTTCGGGATCCTCATCTATACGCCCCTCCATAGAGCCACCAAATCTTTGTATCACTTGAGCCATTTTAGCGGTGGCCTTAAATTCTTTGGCCAACGGTGAACCACCTATAGTTTTCGAACGATGTCGCGGACTCTGAGTAACCGAACTACTCTCCGAACTGTAATCGGCTGCATAGTCAGTACTCTCTTCGAGAAAATCACTAGGTGATTTACGGCCTACACGATCTTTACTTTTAGCCCGACCCCAACGATGTTTGAGATTATTAAAAAAGCCATGAGTCTTTTGAAATACGCCCGAACCAGAGCTACCACTCGTGTGTGGAGCTGCAGCACTTTTAGCTCGTTTTGGTGAGACCTGTGGTGATTCCTGACGACCATTCAATTCGGAAGCCGATTTACTTAAATGCTGTCCTAATCTTTGGCGTGACTGTGGTGAACCGTGTGGCGAGGCGGAGGGTGTTACATTGATGGATTCTTTGCTAGCGAATTCCTGACGTCTATATTCGGCACGATATTCATCGCTTAGCAGAACTTCGTCGCTGTAGTGGATGCGAGCTGGAAGGAGAGGGAATATGATTAAAAAGTTAAATATTTGTGTAATTTTCAAATTTTCTTTTAATGTTTGTGCCGGAGTTTTTAAAAGTGATTCAAAAAAAGTCAATTTAAGCTTAGAAATAAACCCTTATTCTAATAAAGTGAAACTTAGACCAGAAAGGTACCAAAGAGAGAAAAGCGGATAAATTTCTTTCCATCTGATCTGTTAACTATTTATAAACTACCCAAAACTGAACACTGCACTCACGTATGGTGTCTGAATGTATGACAACAATATTCCTACACTGACAGTATGTGGAATAAGGCCCCAATAAAGGTTCATCCTGAAACTTCCTGATGTAATCAGTTGTATTACTTATTTATGGGTCATAGCCTTAGTGTGGTGCAGAAGAAGGAAATATATTGGGGGTAAGTTAGTTAGTTAATTAGTAGTTAGTTAGTTAGCTAGTTAGTTAGTAGTTAGTTAGTTAGTTAGTTAGTTAGTTATTAGTTAGTTAGTTAGTTGTAGTTAGTTAGTTAGTTAGTTTAGTTAGTTAGTTAGTTAGTTAGTTAGTTTAGTTAGTTCGTTAGTTAGTTAGTCGTAGTTAGTAGTAGTTAGTTAGTAGCTAGTAGTGTTAGTTAGTATTAGTTAGTTAGTTCGTAGTAGTTAGTTAGTTAGTTAGTAGTAGTTAGTAGTTAGTTAGTTAGTTAGTTAGTTAGTTAGTTAGTTAGTTAGTTAGTTAGTTAGTTAGTTAGTTAGTTAGTTAGTTAGTTAGTTAGTTAGTAGTTAGTTAGTTAGTTAGGTTAGTTAGTTAGTTAGTTAGTAGTTAGTTAGTTAGTAGTAGTTAATAGTTAGTTAGTTAGTTAGTTAGTTAGTTAGTTAGTTAGTTAGTAGTTAGTTAGTTAGTTAGTTAGTTAGTTAGTTAGTTAGTAGTTAGTTAGTTAGTTAGTTAGTTAGTTAGTTTAGTTAGTTAGTTAGTTAGTTAGTAGTTAGTTAGTTAGTTAGTTAGTTCGTAGTTAGTTAGTTAGTTAGTTAGTTAGTTAGTTAGTTAGTTAGTTAGTTAGTTAGTTAGTTAGTTAGTTAGTTAGTTAGTTAGTTAGTTAGTTAGTTAGTTAGTTAGTTAGTTAGTTAGTTAGTAGTTAGTAGTTAGTTAGTTAGTTAGTAGTTAGTTAGTTAGTTAGTTAGTTAGTTTAGTTAGTTAGTTAGTTAGTTAGTTAGTTAGTTAGTTAGTTAGTTAGTTAGTTAGTTAGTTAGTTAGTTAGTTAGTTAGTTAGTTAGTTAGTTAGTTAGTTAGTTAGTTAGTTAGTTAGTTAGTTAGTTAGTTAGTTAGTTAGTAGTTAGTTAGTTAGTTAGTTAGTTAGTTAGTTAGTAGTTAGTTAGTTAGTTAGTTAGTAGTTAGTTAGTTAGTTAGTTAGTTAGTTAGTAGTTAGTTAGTTAGTTAGTTAGTTAGTTAGTTAGTTAGTTAGTTAGTTAGTTAGTAGTTAGTTAGTTAGTTAGTTAGTTAGTTAGTTAGTTAGTAGTTAGTTAGTTAGTTAGTTAGTTCGTTAGTTAGTTAGTTAGTTAGTTAGTTAGTTAGTTAGTTAGTTAGTTAGTTAGTTAGTTAGTTAGTTAGTTAGTTAGTGTTAGTTAGTAGTTAGTTAGTTAGTTAGTTAGTTAGTTAGTGTTAGTTAGTTAGTTAGTTAGTTAGTTAGTTAGTTAGTTAGTTAGTAGTTAGTTAGTTAGTTAGTTAGTTAGTTAGTTAGTTAGTTAGTTAGTGTAGTTAGTTAGTAGTTAGTTAGTTAGTTAGTTAGTTAGTTAGTAGTTAGTTAGTTAGTTAGTTAGTTAGTTAGTTAGTTAGTTAGTTAGTTAGTTAGTTAGTAGTTAGTTAGTTAGTTAGTAGTTAGTTAGTTAGTTAGTTAGTTAGTTAGTTAGTTAGTTAGTAGTTAGTTAGTTAGTTAGTTAGTTAGTTAGTAGTTAGTAGTTAGTTAGTTAGTAGTAGTTAGTTAGTTGTAGTAGTAGTTCGTTAGTTAGTTAGTAGTAGTTAGTTAGTTAGTTAGTAGTTAGTTAGTAGTTAGTTAGTTAGTTAGTTAGTTAGTTAGTTAGTAGTTAGTTAGTTAGTAGTTAGTTAGTTAGTTAGTAGTTAGGTTAGTTAGTTAGTAGTTAGTTAGTAGTTAGTTAGTTAGTTAGTAGTTTAGTAGTAGTTAGTAGTTAGTTAGTTAGTTAGTTAGTTAGTAGTTAGTTAGTTAGTTAGTTAGTTAGTTAGTAGTAGTTAGTAGTTAGTTAGTATTAGTTAGTTAGTTAGTAGTTAGTTAGTAGTAGTTAGTTAGTAGTTAGTTAGTTAGTAGTTAGTTAGTAGTAGTTAGTTAGTTAGTTAGTTAGTTAGTTAGTTAGTTAGTTAGTTAGTTAGTAGTAGTAGTAGTTAGTTAGTTAGTTAGTAGTTAGTTAGTTAGTTTACAATTTACACTCCTGCCGCAGAACCAAAATCACTACATCTTACTTTTATGAGGATCAGTGTATAACTGATTTCTTGGACATTTTGTACATATCGATCTTGGTACTTTTTGAACTCTTTTTTGGTACACTTCATATTCATTGATCTAAATTATCTGTATCATCATTGAATGACTAAAACCCCCATCGTAATAAATTTCATTTAAGTTCAAATTAGACAATATTTATTTCAGTTAAAATTACAAGAAACGTTTTAAAAACCACTTGAATCCTTAAAACATTTGATACGAGCACCCCAAGCAATTGCTCGTTGACTGTTTCCTTTATAGTGAAAAAGCAACAATAGCAAAAATATATTATCATGCTAAATATATGCCATAGAATTCAGACAATAAAACCGGAGACAGTGGCAGTGAAAGTAAAAGTATAATAAGAACATTCTACCACGGTGCGCTTGACATGTGTAATTAAAGTCTGCCATTACACAGCAATGACAACAAATTAAGTTGTTCAAAAAGAAATTTACAAAGTAAACAGATGGAATTTCTTTATTAAATAATTTCATCTAAAATGTGTATCTAAGAATTGCAAAAAAAAGTTATAAGAAAAAAGTTCATTATTTTGTAACGTTTAACCTTTTTGTAAATGTGCAAACAATATAGAAATATGATTTTCTTTGCTTTTATTTTTACCAGACATTGAAGTAAATATTTAAATAATGTTTATTTAGGTACTTTTTAAGAAAATATGCATATTTATGATTTTAATTTACAAGAAAAAGGTTAAATGTGACATTTAGGAATGTTGTTGCCCCGAGTTTATTTTCGAGAGAGCGATAAAGATTTTTTTCTGCGGACTGAAGTCAGAATAATTTTCTAAATCGATTTAGCAGCCTAGATTTTTAATACAAAATTTAATCTCTCATAACTATGCCAACATATGAAACTGTGGCGTATATTTAAGACATGTCAGTGTGTCCTTCGAGAGGACCCTTAATGTTACAAATATTCACATAATTTTTTTTATTTTAGTTTTTTTTGTGCACACGCTCTCTTTACAAAAACACTTGTCATTTTAATAATCATAAATGTCATGATAATATGTCGTCACTACATTGTAAAACTGCAAATACAAGTGCTGACAATGTAAAAACATGATTTCTTTATGGACCACTTAAATGTTTATGAAACCATAATAAAAAAAAAACATTAAAAATATGCAAAAGTTTTAAGATGTGACTTTGTAATGCTAAGATTCTGTCACAATGTTACTACACATATTGGACACCAGATCGCATAACCGAAACTGAAAGTGTCGGGAATTGTGAAACATTGATCGTGGCTAAGCGAAACAGTAGAGCAAACCTATGCGAGAGCTTGTTGTTAAATTGATAGCTCTAAGCTGATACACAAAACGGGTCTGGGGATCTGAATGTAAAGTCCAAAAACCGAAATATACTACCTACATAATTACAATACTAGCCTACTACTTAGCAGAAGCCCGTGCTATCACGGAATGTGTAAAATTCATTGGATTGAATACGACGAAAATGGGTTAATCTTCAACTGCCAGAACGCTAGAAGGCCCCAATTAGCTGATAAGTTTAAATCTAAGATCGTATTGGACTAAATACTCTTTAAGTGGTAACAAATCGAAATATTTATCTAAGACCCATAAAAGTATATAAATATATATTCTGGATCCTTATTAAACTGTAAGACGATCTAGCCATCCGTCCGTCTATCTGTCCGTCTGTATGTCTATTGAAAACACGATAGAGTCCAAATAAAAGTAGTTAGCGAGCTGAAATTTTACAGATAAATTAAATTCTTTGCGTCTCTAATAATGTGTAAGATAAACCAGAAAATCAGTTTTACCCGTTATTCCCTTTTTATATCCTACTTACACCACTTTAGTTTAGGGAGGGTACATTGGGTTTGTACTGATCTTTGTAACGCATAATAATATTGGTCCTATACCCACCTTAAAGTATAGCATTCAGCTTAGAATCATTTTCTGAGTCGATTTAGCTATGTCCGCTTGTCCGTCCATGTAAACTCTGTAATCAAACCTCTGGTCGCAATTTTGAAGATTTCAGGGACGAAGCGTATTAAAAATGGTTTTGATCGATTCATTATTTCACCTAGCCCTCATACAACTGAACCCCCGATAAGGACTTGTAAACCTTGTAATCAAACTACAGGTCGCAATTTCGAAGATAATTCAATAAAATTTGACACATGATTCCAGGGACGAAGCCTATTGAAAATGATTAACATCAGTTCATTATTTCACTTAGCCCCCATATAACTGAACCCTCCGAATAGCGCTTTTAAGTTCATAGTTATGTTTAATATGCTAGTATCTCGACAAAAAGCTGCAAAACCAAGTTATATACTAGCCTTGATGACCCTGATGAATTTTCCGATGATAGCCCCTATAGAAAGCCCCCTTTAAAATATGACTTAAATGTAAAAAATTTTATTCAGTCATGAGTAGTTTAAGTATATCTGAGGCAAGGTTTAATTCAACTTAAATACTTTATTATGAACACTATATCACATTTTATTTTATAACTGACTAGCTATAC